TGGGGTGAGCGGCTTGGAAAGAGCACTCGATGGTCGCATACCTACTTTTATTTTACATGCATTTGTTGCGGCTACTACGGTTGCGTCTGTCTGGGGCTTCGTAACTGTTGCACTAGATGTTCCCATATTTGAGCACGTTGGCAAGTCACTTAGAATATGTATCGCTTTTTGGTTTTCCTCTTCCAGCCTCTTCAGCTGCTGCTGAGCGGTTGTGTATATACATGGAATGGCGCCGGGCGGCAAGCATCTTCTGGTTTGTAGTCCTTTAAAAGAAAATATGTTCATATGTATGTATTATAACAAAAATGTTGAAACTAAGAATAGTGGACAATTCTTACCCAATTCGAAAGCTAACTTTCCTGTAATATGTTCGTCTTTAAAATGGTCCATACAAATTCCCCACGTTTTTGGTTTAAAAACTTTAGATCGCCGGCAAAACTTCAACCATTTCTCTCGCTGTTTCGGATCCTTTGGGAAACGAAAAAAAGATCTTTTTTCAGATGGGTACCTGCGTTGGCTTACACAATTCCACACCGCACACTGCATTGCAATTTTTATTCTTTGTAAATTTATTTCATTTGCTTAGCGTATTTAACTGCGTATTTCAATTGCTTCACTTTTCACGCTGCTTGTTATTTTCGCTGTTTTGTCGCCCTTGTCGGCAAGCTGAACAGCTGATTGCCAAATTTTACAAGAGAGGAGTAACGGACCTGTGCAATGCGCAACATTTAATGGGCCGTATGAATAAAAACTAAGCAATTGCTTTTTCTTAAAATTTCATACCTTTTACTTCAATTTTGTTTGAATAAATTGAGTAAAAGATCTTAAATTTTAAGAAAAAGCAATTGCTTATTTTTATTCATACGGCCCAATATATGAACGTTGTTCACCATCTTTTGTTTTGAATTAGGAAAATTTTCGATAAAGAAAATACCCGATATTTTTGTAAAACTATCGATAGTGAAAAAAAACCAATGATAGTATCGATAGTGCCATCTCTAATTTAGTATTTATAATCGGAACCATTCTCAATTTCTACAAAACTTTCGGTGATATCAGTGAGTTAAATACTATAAATCGTGTTAGCATTATGTCAACTACACATAGACAACGTTATAAAAATGCTGCATTGGATTCGTCTGAAATGCGCCGAAGACGTGAAGAGGAAGGAGTCCAAATCAGAAAACAGAAACGAGAACAACAATTAATAAAAAGACGCAATGTTGTTTTGGATATACCCCAATCTGGTTTGGATATTGGAGCTGAAGTAATTTTTCCTATTTATATAAAAACCTTCAGAAGTAACCTTTTTTTTTCAAAGGAGATTGAAGTGAATCGCAATTCCGACCCCTTTTCGGAAGAACAAATGAATCACAAAAATCAACTAACAATTTCGAGGACACTTTCCGATCAAAATAAGCCGGCGATTAATATTATAAAAAAACAGATGATAGAACTATTGTTTAGTGAGAATGAAACAGAGCAACTAGAAGCCACTCAAAAGTTCCGCAAGCTATTATCTCGCGATCCAAATCCGCCGATAGAAGAAGTCATCCAAAAAGGGATAGTTCCTCGATTTGTATTCTTTCTCAAGAATAATTCAAACGCATCGTTGCAAGTAATTTGTATTTTTAAATAATCTAAATAAATACAAGCAACAACTGTAGATTTATCTGGTTCCAATTGTATACAAGTGTTCAAAAGCAATTTTCTCTTTTTTTAGTTCGAAGCTGCTTGGACATTGACTAATATTGCCTCAGGGACGTCACAGCAAACTAAAATTGTAATTGATGCGGGCGCCGTTCCCGTTTTCATTGACCTATTATCGAGTAATAATGACGATGTTCAAGAACAAGCAGTTTGGGCTCTGGGAAATATAGCTGGTGATTCGCCAAGTTGTCGTGACTACCTACTGAACTCGGGAATACTTCAACCATTGTTACAGTAAGTTTAATTTGTAGTCAACAGAAAAATTATTCGAGTAGATTAATGGGATGTTTTTGGTTGAGCGTAAAAGCGCATTTAGCTCTAAATGCTACTCTAAATGTACATTTATCCATACAAAAGTTCGTCAACGGCATTTAAGTTTAGTTGGGGATTGCTGCTTAAATGCCATTTAGCCAATATTGGCCATTTAATTGCAGATTAAATGTATGATCTGAAAATGAATAGTGGAAGTTAACCAACAATCTCTACTTAAGTAGGTCATCTGAAATTGGGCCAAAGGGCATGAGGAACATAACCTTGGAGGGGGGTCGTGGTTAGCGTCGCCAGCGAAGTGAAGTATCTAGGACTAATCAGAACTTTGTCTGCCTCGGGAGACCCGCACTACAATAGCCCAACTTCGCTCTGGCTATTGCAGCAGGCTCAACAGCTACCTGAGCAGAATCAACGAGGATGTGCCCAACCAATGAACGACATGTGGAGAGTCGCCACATGACTCCCGGCACCTCTTCACATGCCCTGAGAACCCCACTCAGCTAACGCCCCTGTCGCTATGGACAGCTCCTTTGGAAGTAGCACACTTCCTGGGCCTCCCCCAAGCTGAAATGGACGACAACGTTGATGGATGAACCGTCCCGAACGGGGCTTAGTAGCCGCTACAACAACAACAACAGCAATCTAGGACTAATCCTAGACACCAAACTTCTATGGAAGAAACATGTGGACGCGATCACTTCCAGGGCTACAAAAATTTTAACCCTAGAAAACTAACGTTCGCCTGTGAGGCGGAACGAATTCGGGTTTCTCGCGATATTTCAGGAACGATTTTAATAATCAAAGTAAGCGTTCACGCAAATTCAGTTTAGAGCTGTTCGAGGTTGTTAGCTGGCGCATATTGTACAGTAGCCTTGCGCGGATGACTTCCACGCTCTCTTAACGCCTGACGGGCGAACGTGCTGTACTTATTTCATTTTTTAACATGTTTGTTGGCTATTTTCTGTCCTCGCCTCCCTCTTCTTCCGCAGCCTTTGGTTGTTGTTGTTGTTGTAGCGGCTACAAACACCCCGCCCAGATCGGTTGATGTCTCAGTCGTCGTCGTCGAGTTCCACTAACGGCAGTCCCAAGAATCTTGCAGCCTCTATGGGGTCAGTCCACAGGGGCAACGCCGTAAGGGTTGTAGGGTTTTCCGGGCATGCGAAGAGATGATTCGAGTGGTGAGGGATCTCTCCGCATGTCGGACATTCATTCGGCACATCCGCATTTAGCCTACTCAGGTAAGAGTTCAGCCTGCTGCGGGAGCCAGAGCGAAGTTGGGCTATTGTTGTTATCTCCCGAGGCAGATGGAGCTCCGTCGCCACTATGTCCGGTGTTTGTGTGCGTAGAACGGCATTCACAGGTCTAGAGTCTACATAACTCGAGACTGAGGCCCTTATTATGAGCCTCATTCGATTTTCGATCTTCGCTGGCTATCGAAAATCGAAGATCGAAAGTGAAATTCGTATTATGAGCTATGCAAGCGTGTCGAAATTTTCGTTGAGTATCGAATTTTCTGTCGAACAGAATTTTGCTTTCGATGGTGTAGCGAAGTGTTAGGAAATTGTGAAAAATGTATGAATATATATATGTATATGTTTTCTTACATTTTGGCGGCTAGACACTAATTTTAAACAATTTTTATTAATTTCATGCAGTTCTAACATCGTGAATACTAAACACAAGCTCGAAAGGCTGCTTTACTTGTGAAAGAAAATCCCAATACTCTATTGGCACGATCTCTGAGAACAAAATCGTAGCGCTGTTGATAGTTTTAAAATATTTTAAATAGATTTGGTTCACAAACGCCTCTTTAGATGGTCGGAACTTTTTAATGAATCTGTAGACAAATTTCTTAAATATATTTTATATCAAAATATATTCGAAAGACTAATAAACTTAAACTCGCTTAAACATTTGCTACTCCTGGCCAGTTTACTAAGCTCTCATCCTCTGACGAATCGTTGAACCAGAACTCGTACTCATTTTACCACGTTGTTATAAACTTTCTTCCTTTTTTACTTCATTTTAATTAGAACAAATTTACATAAATATGTATAAGCACACTATTTAGTTTGCTCGATTTGTAAACAAAGCTTCTCAGCGGTGAAAAATATACTATTGTGAACAACCTAAACGAGCGAAATTCACAATAGCGCTATTCTTCATCGAATGAGCGCCATAATACCAAATGAAAATTCGTTCGCTCAGCACTTTCGACCACAGTCGAAAATCGAATGCAACTCATAATAGGGGCCTGAGTCCCTGTGAATGCCGTTCAGGGCCTGTCGGTATGCTGACGGGTCCAGAGGCTGCTTAATGAACCTCTGGTCTTCGCCCGTCAGTTCATATAGATGCCTCCTGACATGTCTAGGGGGGGCTCCTCTGCAAGCAGCTGTCTGTTTGGGTGGCCCAATCTGTGGCTCCCAACCAGAAACTGCTTGCAGAGCATTTCGCCTCGTCATGGAGGTGGTGTTCGGGTGACATCAGGAGGCATTCGGTCGTTGTCCTGAGTGCGGTGTTCTGTGCTGTCTGTAGCTTCATCCACTGCGTCCTACTAGTCCCAGGCGACCACACCGGCCGGCCTATTGCCTTATATCGCCTTTGACCGCCAGGGCCACATGATAACAAAACTGAACCTGTAGTTCAGCTTGTAGCCCACCCTTCGGACATTGCTGAATAAGTCCTCATCGATGCCAACGTTTAAACGCAGGCTATGATACTCGAGATGACGCGTCACGCTGGGGTGTTGAGACCACCGTTTTGAGCCCTTAACAGTCCCAACGCGTAGTTTGACGATTTGTCAGCACTTTTCGGCAGGAAGATGGTCATGTTGTGCATGGGTGGCATGTCATCTCCCCGTTTCACGCACAGCAGGGTCTCCTTCCATCTTTCTAGCACATTTTTCGTTTCATCGAGTTTCAAATCACTTCCGTCGCTAAAGAAGTTTTAACTTTAAACATTTTTCTCGCCCTCCCGTATGCCCTTTCATATGGATCTCAGGCACTCCAGTAAAATATTACAAATTTACAAAAACAAATATAGGTTGGAAACATGGTGTAATAATAACAAGGTGTTGTCAGTAACTTAACCTCACTGTTTCAGCAGGTCTATTCCGGTCACGCATTTTAAAGTATTAGAAAAGGTACTAATTATTTACTACTTTTAATCCGTTTGTGCATACTATTACAAATTAAATTTAGGAAAATGTAAAATTACAGGCTTATAAGCCTGAATATATGTTCGTATCGTTAGCTCCACACAGCTTGGACATATATTGTAACATATAAAAAAGTAAAGGCTGTAAAATAAACCAATTTCCTATAAGACTGTAAATGATTTTTTAAATATATTAAAACACATAAATATCGATAATATTAGCGAAATCGTAAGTTAACCATACTGCCGCTCTATTCTAGTGTATCAGTAGTCCATTTGGCTCGATATTATGACAATGCAGCAAAAGATATTTAATATAAAAAAACGCCTTTCCATACAATTTTTGTGTACGTCTTTTTGCATTAATTACCACGATATCTTTTATATTTTATATTTTGAGGACACAAATTATACAAATCCAGGAATTTTAAATATTAATTTCGTTCTGAAAACACCAAGTTCTTTAAAAATCGCGATAAAACGAAATACTAAAATGGAGTATTTTAGATACTATTTCCCAACGAATAGTAATATAAGAATTAAGATCGGCAGCACTGAAAATAAGCATGCCGATCTTGTCAAAATTACAACAAACACGTCGCTACTGACAACACCTTGTTATTTTTCCACCATGGGTTGGAAAAATAGGGCGTGTGTGAATCGGTAGCAAAGTTCTATGGGAAAAGCTGTTGAATAATATTTGTACTATGGTGAGACAGTTTTGCCAATCTGCTGTGTGAAATGAAATCTTTTTTGACAGCAGTAAATTTTTCATAACCGCAGATTTATACGCAATAAACTATTACAAATTTAGTGAAATTAATATTTTAAGAAAACATCTACCATCATTGATTGCAGTTCATCAACTTAAGCTTTTATTTTACGAAAAATTACACACAGCAGCATTCTTTGCAATTGTCAAAATTTTCTATGCATTTGTCAAAAATTTCACTAGCCCTATGGGCTACTGAAATTTTATTCACCTCAAACTTGTCAAAAATTTACTTGCCGCGAACTTTGTTACCGATTCACACACGCTCATAATAAAAAATATGTCAGTACGACAAAAATATATACTAAAAATTTATTTAATATTCGTATACATATACTGAAAGTAAACACGAAATCTATTGAAAAAAAAACACATGGCGTTCATTAAAGTGTGGAAGCGCGAGATTATTTTGGCAAAAATTTTGAGTGCAAAGCGTAGTATATGTTGTGCTTTGTAATTATTAAACGAATGAGGAAATATTACTTGCAACGCCATTGTGTAGCTTGCCACCAAAACTTTTTGGAAAATTTCAAAGGGGATATAGAAAATGATTGATTTCCAATCTTAATGCAATGTAAATCCTTGGGAGCATAACATCGCGTAAAGTTGATAGGATTGCAGACATTTTTATAACGTCGGATTGCAGAAAAGAAATTTCATGACATTGAAGGAAAATGTCAACAAATGTCCGGCAAACTTCGAGCGCAAAAAAAAAATAGATTGAGGTTGGAGTAACTCCAATCTCCTGTCCATACTTGATTTAAGGTGCCCTCATTAAATTTTATTGCATATTGCTCCAATGGTGCTATCATTTATTAACGCTTTAAAGTAGGACTTTTTAAGCGAGGAGTAGCCCAAGGAAAAAGTAAAATTTGAGCTTGCAATATGTTGTAAATATATGCAAGGATTCCTCCTTCAAAATTTTGGAACTTTTTAGCCACTAGGTCGCTATAATCAGCCTTATTCTGCATTTCGATTACGTTCCCGCATTCCGCTCCGCTGGAATCGAACTTAGGTATTCTGCGTTACGATTAAA